GAAACTAGTTGTATGTGTGTATAAACCACTTAGTACCTGGATAAAGAAGAAACTGGTTGGCAATGCTAGTAGGTGCTATAGCGCGGCTAAGACCAATGATTAAGCCATGCTAATACCAGTAGTTAATACCCGTGCTCAACACCCACTTAAATCATATTGTAGACATATCATACAATTGTGCAATGATATATGCATATATAATATGTACATTGGAGAGCCCAGTTTGGGACTTGCTTGTCAGGTTCATGAAATGCAAAAAAAAACGCAGTACAGCTGGTTAGGAATCAAACATCTTCCATGAAACCTTAGCACAACCATCGTTCAAACCCTTGTTGCGGGGTCCATGTTGGCTTTCCGGGGCGAACCCTAGTGGCAAACCAGCCATTCTGGGCTTGCAGCTATGCTTACGAAAAAATCCGTTGGATAATGTCTTGCATGCAACAGGCCACTCAGCAGGTAGCTTGCCCTTCTTTTCCCTGACACCATGGCAGTGCTCAGTCCATGTTGTCATGTTTTTACTTTCCTGTCCACTCACTGTTGAACATGCATGTGGCGCCAGCACTGTTGGCTTGAAACTAAGCGCCTCTAGGGATTTTGTGGATTGTACCTCCTGTTTGACCAGAAGGCGTTGCGAGCCAAATGGCAGATTTGAGGATGGTCCATGCCCTTGCTTTAGAGATACCATCACGCCGACTTCTGGAAAGGCACAGCCGGATGCAAACGGGCTTTGCGGCTGGCAACAATGGGGGGGAAGTGTATCCAGCCGTTTTCCGAGGCGGTGGTGGTTTCAATGGTGTCGGTGATCTCGGAGGCAATGCTCATCTCGGTGGCCCACATGGACACAACGTGTTCGTAGTACCAGGTGTCACGAGTGATTCTGACGATTCTGACACGGAGAATGAGGATATCGACAGTGAGATTTCAACGGAGAGTGGTGGCAGTGATGCAGAGAGTGACCTTTCAATCCTTTCAATCCATCCCATCCATTCGGAAGGATGCGAGGAAAACAAGATTGACAGCAGTTTTCCTGGATCTCGTGGTAAAGAAAGCCAGGAAGTTGATGCTACCAACAGTACCGAAGGCAAAAACCATGGCGATGTTGACAGCCAAACAGTTGGACAGAGTTGAGGTAGGGCTGCTTGCCAAATTCGCACGCATGGATGTCTCCAAACTGAAGGGGCCGAGCCCAAAGACCTCTGCAGATAAGCCTCAGACTCTTGAGTCATAGATATCATAGATCTAAGGGTAGCCCTGTGGGCATGTGAAGACAGTCTCTTGTTCTGACGGTGTTGACTTTCGAACTGACTTTCTGAGTATAAAGAGGTTTCAATTCAGGAGACACCAACATGCTGCAGATCAATAGCCCAATTGGCTGAAGTTCCGACGGGCGATTGCGGTGAAAGCGCTTTCAAAGCAGTGGAAGCGAACTCACCCGAAACGACAGAGACGCTTAAATTCTGCTTAAATGCCCGCACAGCAAATTGCGAGCTTGAATAGCATCAGTCCGAGAAAACCAGGAGTAGCTGTGTTTGTGACTGCATATTATACCTAGTCTGTATATGTTTGTATCTATATGTGAATATATGTTTGTATCTATATATGAATTGTATTTGCATCGTGGGCAAAGTGTTCAACCCTGATGCTGCAATATCGTACATGTCTAATGGATCCTCAGTCCAAACTGGAGCAGATTGGGAGTCAGGGTAGCCACATGTGGCCCCAATCACCGACCCGTCAAAATGCCCGTCAAATTCGGGTGTAGCCATGGAATATATGTGTTACTACGCCATTTTTTGGGATCATGTTGAGAAAAAAAGGAGGACCCGAGAGAACCCAACATTATAGTGCCCCAAATGCTGCGTCTCTTTATGATGTGAAACATTCAGTCGGAACCAGTCCCATAAACCCAAGATTGGAAAACAATTGACATGCAGGTAGTGCGATTGGAGCCGAACATGGCCGAATTTGGGAAAACCATGTAAAGGACAAAAAACATGGCCACACCTTCAAATACAAGGAAAATTTAGGGAAATCGCCTATATTCAGACACTCTGACATATTTGAAATAGATACAGTATGATACAGTCTGAGTGCACACATATCTAACACATATCCATTACAGATGTCACCAAGAATTTTCTTCTCCTGGCTTTCGGCACTGTGAAGGTGAGTAATCTGTCGAATTCGATCTGTCTTAAGTGTGATGCTACATGAATGTTCGAACTTCGTAGTTTCTTCCAGTTCTGGTTGGTGGTCTGGAAAATTTTTTATTTTTCCATATATTGGGAATAATAATCCCAACTGACGAACTCCATAATTTTTCAGAGCGTTAGGTATATACCACCAACCAGCAGTTGCTACGTGCTGAAATTGGGAATTCCCAAGCAGCCGCGGACAGTAAGTGCTGCACCGGGATCCCGGAATCTCGGCTTGCTGAGATGGGCAGTCACGGCGCTCTGTGGGATTAGGAGGGGTTGGACCTCGTTGCTCACCTCGTTTTAGCCAGCCTCTAATCCCGCTAAGAATGGATGTCCTGGTTGCACGATTAAGAGAGAGGTAACCTTTCATGGAAGCAACACATAGTACATGAGTGCACGTGACTTTACATTGTAGATTTATGTACTACGTAGATATGTAGATACATGCAATTCGAAAAACTAAAATGCGCTGTCGATTTCCCAACAGGACACCATTGCTCTGAACTGCCAAGAAAATGATCAGAAGTCAAGCAGTGCACCAACTGTGATTTAACTAGGTCGATCTTAGATGGATACTTTAATCCTAACTAGTCTTTTGGTATTAATGGGAATATCTACGTTCACCAGCAAAGAATTTGTCATTTTTTGTAGGCTATCTAAGATTGGCAAGGCTAAGCTTATGCACTGGGTCCTAGAGCGGAGAACCGGAGAACCTGTGGATCTGGAGCAAAAACCCTTGGAAGATCTGGAAATCGACTAACTGCAGTTGGTCCATGTCCATTGTGACTAGCCATTGATGCTTTTTTATTTAGCCAAAAAAAGAGCCAGACCGGTCTGGAACTCCACCCCGTGCACGGAACTCCACCCCGTGCCCCGTGCACATGCTAATTTGCAAAACTCGGTTGCGCAGGTCGAGTGTGGCAATCTCAAATTAGTAAGTGTACTCAGAGAGCATTTACCAACACTTTGCCGCATAGATTTGACAACAGGGACCTTGGACCAAAAACTTCCGTTGCTGTGGCGCGCGTGGTTGGCGTTGGGTCCAAACCAGGTTTTCGATCGGTAGGCACTGACCATTGTTCCAGCTTAACGAATGTGCAAGAGTCACTTGGAACGCATGGATGTCTCCAAACTGAAGGGGCCGAGCCCAAAGACCTCTGCAGATAAGCCTCAGACTCTTGAGTCATAGATATCATAGATCTAAGGGTAGCCCTGTGGGCATGTGAAGACGGTCTCTTGTTCTGACGGTGTTGACTTTCGTACTGACTTTCTGAGTATAAAGAGGTTTCAATTCAGGAGACACCAACATGCTGCAGATCAATAGCCCAATTGGCTGAAGTTCCGACGGGCGATTGCGGTGAAAGCGCTTTCAAAGCAGTGGAAGCGAACTCACCCGAAACGACAGAGACGCTTAAATTCTGCTTAAATGCCCGCACAGCAAGTGTTGCGAGCTTGAATAGTATCAGTCCGAGAAAACCAGGAGTAGCTGTGTTTGTGACTGCATATTATACCTAGTCTGTATATGTTTGTATCTATATGTGAATATATGTTTGTATCTATATATGAATTGTATTTGCATCGTGGGCAAGGTGTTCAACCCTGATGCTGCAATATCGTACATGTCTAATGGATCCTCAGTCCAAACTGGAGCACATTGGGAGTCATGGGTAGCCACATGTGGCCCCAATCACCGGCCCGTCAAAATGCCCGTCAAATTCGGGTGTAGCCATGGAATATATGTGTCACTACGCCATTTTTTTGGATCATGTTGAAAAAAAGGAGGACCCGAGAGAACCCAACATTATAGTGCCCCAAATGCTGCGTCTCTTTATGATGTGAAACATTCAGTCGGAACCAGTCCCATAAACCCAAGATTGGAAAACAATTGACATGCAGGTAGTGCGATTGGAGCCGAACATGGCCGAATTTGGGAAAACCATGTAAAGGACAAAAAAACATGGCCACACCTTCAAATACAAGGAAAATTTAGGGAAATCGCCTATATTCAGACACTCTGACATATTTGAAATAGATACAGTATGATACAGTCTGAGTGCACACATGCCAGATGTCACCAAGAATTTCCTTCTCCTGGCTTTCGGCACTGTGAATGTTGCCTAGATCTCGGTCACAGTAGTCTATCGAATTCGATCTTTCTGAAGTGTGATGCTACATGAATGTTCGGACTTCGTAGTTTCTTCCAGTTCTGGTTGGTGGTCTGGAAAATTTTTTATTTTTCCATATATTGGGAATAATAATCCCAACTGACGAACTCCATAATTTTTCAGAGGGTTAGGTATATACCACCAACCAGCAGTTGCTACGTGCTGAAATTGGGAATTCCCAAGCAGCCGCGGACAGTAAGTGCTGCACCGGGATCCCGGAATCTCGGCTTGCTGAGATGGGCAGTCACGGCGCTCTGTGGGATTAGGAGGGGTTGGACCTCGTTGCTCACCTCGTTTTAGCCAGCCTCTAATCCCGCTAAGAATGGATGTCCTGGTTGCACGATTAAGAGAGAGGTAACCTTTCATGGAAGCAACACATAGTACATGAGTGCACATGACTTTACATTGTAGATTAATGTACTACGTAGATATGTAGATACATGCAATTTGAAAAACTAAAATGCGCTGTCAATTTCCCAACAGGACACCATTGCTCTGAACTGCCAAGAAAATGATCAGAAGTCAAGCAGTGCACCAACTGTGATTTAACTAGGTCAATCTTAGATGGATACGTTAATCCTAACTAGTCTTTTGGCATTAATGGGAATATCTACGTTCACCAGCAAAGAATTTGTCATTTTTTGTAGGCTATCTAAGATTGGCAATGCTAAGCTTATGCACTGGGTCCTAGAGCGGAGAACCGGAGAACCTGTGGATCTGGAGCAAAAACCATTGGAAGATCTGGAAATCGACTAACTGCAGTTGGTCCATGTCCATTGTGACTAGCCATTGATGCTTTTTTATTTAGCCAAGAAAAGAGCCAGACCGGTCTGGAACTCCACCCCGTGCACGGAACTCCCCCCCGTGCCCGGAACTCCACCCCGTGCCCCGTGCACATGCTAATTTGCAAAACTCGGTTGCGCAGGTCGAGTGTGGCAATCTCAAATTAGTAAGTGTACTCAGAGAGCATTTACCAACACTTTGCCGCATAGATTTGACAACAGAGACCTTGGACCAAAAACTTCCGTTGCTGTGGCGCGCGTGGTTGGCGTTGGGTCCAAACCAGGTTTTCGATCGGTAGCCACTGGCCATTGTTCCACCTTAACGAATGTGCAAGAGTCACTTGGAACACTGATATGATTGAAAAAAATGATGGCGCTTCTGATCTAAGACTCTTTTTGAGGGGCTGTCTTTTCACATTTAGGTATGGATCAATACCTATTAATACCATTTTTAGAGGGATGAACATCCATTTACCAGCTATTTTGATGTTCACTAGGTACCAGGGTTTTGACCCATCCCCATTTCCCAACCTTGAGAAATTCGTATACCGAATCTGTTGAATAGACATCCTGGTGCGCTTTTTGAGGAGGCAAACCTCACGGTGGCAGATGCAGCAGCTGGAAAGGAAGCGATTGGGCATTGCTTGGTCCTGGGCCTCTCAGATCTCACAGCATCTTGGCCGCCTTGGCCCTCAGCCGGGCTGAAGGATTGAGCCATGTGAAACAAAAATCTGGGTGTGTCTGATTTTTTTTTGTATACAGGTACAGCCCCAAATAGCAATTGTCATAGGGAAAAGTATGGTAAGCCATTGGATTTTGGGAGTACTTTATTTTCAGACAAACCTGAATAATTGGTGACAAAATGGTCGGTATACTATGTGGTGTCCGAAAAAAATGGGGGTTATATGGAGCTATATGAGCTATTCTTTGTTGTGGAATGATTATAGTGAATAATACAGGGATACCTATTCATCAACCATCGTAATTTTTCGATCACAATTTAAGACGCAGGGGATGACGGATCAACTGGTCATAGTTCTTTCTGACGGTGTTTTGTGACACACCAAATTTCCCATAAATGTCCTTTTCCCATTGTTTGGTTGATTAATAGAGGCGTTTGTTTACCCCTTTAACAACAGGTAAATGATGATAGATGGTATACCTAACCGTCCCCTCTATTTTTACCAAAAGGACATTATTGAAATTGCCCTACATGAATTCGATGGAGTTTGATACTCATCAATGAGGTTTGGCATGATTTGGTTATGTTTGGAAAGTTTACTATTGATACCATCATGCTCAAATGGGCCATTGGTAGTTTTACTACCCAGTTGTATTATTTGGGATTATGAGCTAACCCATAGTAAGTTGGTTTGGAACACTTTCTATTTTTCCATATATTGGGAATTTCATCATCCCAACTGACTTTCATATTTTTCAGAGGGGTAGGTATACCACCAACCAGTAAGGACACCTCTCAACCAACGAGAAAATTTCGATAGGAAAACGATCGTATTTTTCATGGCTCAAAGGATTGGGCGCATGCTCCTGGAAGGTGGGAACTTTGGGATTCATTTCATTCCGCCATGGAAACTACCCTCTGGTATTCATTCCGCCATGGAAACTACCCTCTGGTAAACTAACAGTATGCTATTGAAGCCATGGCCCAGTCGAAATTGTTGATTTACCCATTAATAGCATGGTGATATTCCATAGTTTTCTGTGTGTTTACCAGAGGCTACTGGTGAGAATGCTGCTGTGATTGCTACCATGGGCTTTCGGAAACATTATTGTCAAATCATGAAGCTTGGTGGAGCTACCTATGGATAATTTTTGATAATTTTTGGATATGACTAGGTCAATCTTACATGGATACTTTAATCCTTTAGTCTTTTGGTATTAATGGGAGTATCTACTAACCAGGGTATCTAATATTGGCAATGATGATGCGGTATATTTGAATTAAATCGTTCCTAGGTCAATCGACTGGATGGGTACAAACTAATCCTAACTAGTCTTTTGGTATCAATGGGAATATCGAACCGTTCACCAGCTAAGAATTTATGAATTTTGCAGGGTATCTTAAAGATTGGCGATGTTTCTGTGACAGTATGTTTGCAATGTTCCATGCACAGATGGTCCAAGGAGCGATGTGGCTAGGTGAACCCATTTATGCCATAGCGATGGCACATTTGTTTCCCTAAACCCCTTCTTAGACACCCCCAATATCCACCATCGCTATGTTTAGTAATGTGGGTTTATCCACCATGTCATCGATTTTCCTGGGAATTTTACCACATATATTTATGGTGATGACTGGGGGTTGGTAAAAATGGCATTCTTTTAGCCACAGATTTGGGATGGGACCGCAGATTTGGGACCTTGACAGTCGTCAGGTCTGGTGCTATGAATGTCAGGCCTATGTGGACCACGCTCCTTGCCAATCCCAAGCGATGGTAAACTTTGGTTGGGTACAGGATGGGGCCCCGTTGGATAGCGTTCAGTTGCCTAAAAAAAGTGGCTGAATTCGATGTTTTATGGTAGATATAACGAACTAGTTAATGGTGGTTATAATGGTTTATAAACCAACTTACAACTGGGGGGCCATCCTGTAGGGCATTTCGGTGTGTCTGAAAATGTGGTACATTCATGTACATTCACATAAAATTTCAGATGTATTCTGGTGCATCCGTGGATTTAGGAGTACCCTATTTTGAGACAAGGAAGTACTTGTTTGCTCTAGGAAGGAAGGACTCACATACATATACATGTATATATAATATATATATATATATGCATACATACACATATCATACCCTGGCTAGAAGCTAATTATTTAATTCTTGCAGGTAAAGGACATGTAAATGGGGTCCCAAAAGAGATAGACCAGGAATTCACCATCGAAATGGTGGGGCAAAACTTGTTAATGTTGTCAGGGACAAGGTTTGATGGTTGCTGGCAACCTCTTTTGGCCTTGTTGTTCGGCGGATTCGCCAATGGTAGTCCCATAAGATTTTAGTTGTTGACAAAGCAATCGGCATATTTTTTGGGGCGTCAAGTGGCAATTGAACTTCAGATGGAACAAAACAAGTGGATATAATGGATATCCATCATTATTGTTCCCATCATGTTCCCATGATTTCTCCATGTTTCCCATCATTTACCATCACTATCCATCATTTCCAATCCCTATTTGTTAAAATACTCTCAACTGACAACTGCCTGCCATGGGGTAAATCAGGATCTTTTTTCTCGTGAACTAGCAATGGGTACATATCTTCTAGGTCAACCTTAGATGGATACAAACTAATCCTAACTAGTCTTTTGGCATGGGAATATCGAACCGTTCACCAGCAAAGAATTTGGTCCATGTTTTGCAGGCTATCTGGCTGATTGGCAATGATATCTTTTGGGAGAATTTTCAGATCCCATGGATCAATGGCTCTGAATTACCAGCTTTTTTGGCTTGTAAACATGCGGCAAAACATGCGGCGTTGACCCGACCCGGCCCATACTCATGCCCAGATTAGCGAAGAAAATGGTGCTGGAATATGCACACCAACAAAAAAGCCCAAAATCCCAAAATCACCCAGTTTTGTAGGTTTTGATATACCAGCAGCATGGTTCGCTAATCTGGGATGAGTTTTAGAATCCTTGGGTTGCGTTGCCTCAGAGGAGATGCTAACGCCGTTGTTGAAGCAGATGGAAGCCTTGAAATTCGGCAGACCCGTCCCAGGACGGATTTGGGGCCAGGTTTCGAAGGACGGTGACACAATGGGGGTCATGGAAAAATCACCAGTCGTCACCAGGGGGTTGAATACTAGAAATGTCTACCCTCTGGTAAACCTACAGAAAACTATGGAAAATCACTATGTTTAATATGTTTAATTGGTAAATCCACTATAAATGGCAATTTTCCATAGCTTTTTGTATGTTTACCAGAGGGTAATGATTTGGATGATATGGGGGTACCCCTGTTTTAGGAAACCTCCATACATCCGCAAGAATATGATTGGAAGTACACTAAGTTGGTGCCATTCAAATGTGGCCTTTTCAAATTGTTGAAAAAGCCATGAGATTTTTAAGGGCTGCCCCATTTTCAGACAGGCATATACTGGAAATCTTCTACCCTCTGGTAAACCTACAGAAAACTATGGAAAATCACTAGTTTTAATGGATAAATCCACTTTAAATGGCATAGGGTAGTATGGAAGCTGGGAATTGCAGATCCGCCATTTGTATCCAGCTGTAGACGATTTGGAGGGCCGAATGGAGTATGTTCCGTGGAAAGACTGGCTGAAAGGTATAGTTCCCTCCAGGCCTTGGAGTTCGTGCAATTCGGCGGGATAGCTGTAGGTCATCGGTTCCATGGCAATATGGCATTGGAAGCTGCTGCATGTCCAGATTGTCCTGTTGGAGTTGATAGTATCCCATTGTCACATCAATAAACATATAACCGTTAATCAAATAGATTGTATCCCATATCCCATATGCTCCATGTATGGAATATTTACCAACATTTGCCCTAAAAATCACCCAAATGTAGGTAAATATACCATACATGGAGCATCTGGGTATCAAATAACCCATATGAAGAAGCCGTATCCAATAGATTACTTTCTCCGGTCTCTCATTTGTTGCTGCTGAACGACTCGACCAGCTTTTCTCTGGCAGATCCCCAATGGCAGGAAGCATATCTTCTGCATCAGCGCCCGAAGCTGCGCAGTTGAAGGTGCGTCAATTGATGGTTTTTGTTGGTCAAAATATGATAAATATGGGGCGAATGCCCAGCTAATCATTGAGTTGGTGGCTGAACCAGTGGTAGAATGGGGATGTTTTGTTTGGCCATCACACATGGCATTTTAACAGCAGAAACATAAAACAACATGGTGTGGTTGTTCGTTGCACTCACATGGACCTGGAAACTCACATCGGTTGAAGCCATTTCTAGCTGTGTCTCCGGGTAAACTGATTTGGCTTTGTCGTAAAAAATCGGGGTACTGCCAAAATCCACTGGTTCAAAAAAAAACAAATCCATAGCCCAATTTGGGTAAATTTGATCACGACCTCACTGATCTCCCTCACTGGAATCATGGTTAGGGAAATCATCCCCCAATGGCCTTAATTCTCTGCAAGAAGTTGGTGGCCTTAATTCAGGTTGGTGAAATATTATAATTTACCCAGCCCAATCCCCAAATTCAGTGGTTTAAAACAGTTTAGAGCTTTATGTTCTTCTTTAAGGTACCATAAAACAATATAAAAAAAAACTATTTCAGGACACATTTTGCCATGGCAGTTGCCTCAAATCACCGAGAGAAAAACCTGCGACTTCAGGAGGGTGCACCTATGTCTGGTGTGTCCTTGGAAGCCATGCCACTTGGCGAAGGGATGTGATATATATATATATATATGTATATACAATGTGGGGCCCCCAAGATAGCTAAGTTGCCTTATAAGTGGCTTAACTATGGTTTATAGTAGATATAACTATAGTTAATAGGGTTTATAAACCAATTTATAACTGGGGGGCACCACTTTGTATGTATAGTTGAAATATCATGGGAATATATGGAACATATGATATATAACCAGCAATGTTGCAGGTTTCCTAAAATTGGGGCACCCCAAAACTTCGAATTAATTCCATGTAACCTTATTTCAAGTCAGTGAATTATCATAATTTACCTTTTTCTGGGACAATATAGGGGTATACCCTCTGGTAAACTAGCATAACTATGGAAAATCACCATTATTAATGGGTAAAACAACTATTTCTATGTGCCATTTTCATTAGCAAACTGTTAGTTTACCAGAGGGTAATGAGTATATCATGGAATATTGTTCTTCTGGGTCTCACCTCACGTCGGGTTCGAAATCACGGCCGGAATCATCCCCAAGATCCGTAAGTTTCGGGTTAGTGAAATATGATCATTTACCCAGATATCATGGTTCATTTAGATGAAAAATATGGTTTACTAATCATGGTTACTTCATAGCTATAATGGATGATAATGGTTAATAGATATATTAGCAAGTAGTCATGAACAATATATTCTTTGGCGATATATTAGTGATATATTTACCAAATATATTTTGTGATATATTACCCTCTGTTTTTTTCACATAGACCCTGATAATCGCCTTTTTTTTATGGTTTCACTAATCTTCCAACCCCTATCTCTAACCTACTGGAGGGTAACAAGTAATCATCCAATATATTTAAGCTGGTTGGTGGTTTGGAACATTTTTTATTTTCCCATATATTGGGAAGTTCATTTCATCCCAACTGACTTTCACTCCATCATTTTTCAGAGGGGTAGGTGGCGAAAAACCACCAACCAGTAACCCATATGCTCCATGTATGAGATATTTACCTACAAAACTGGGTGATTTTGTTCGGGCAAATGTTGGTAAATATTCCAGCACCATGGAGCATATTATTATCCATCATTAACCATATAATAACCAGTAATATTCGCCATTATTAACAGTATATTACCAATCAATAGTAGGTGGCTCAACCACCAACCAGTAAGGTATTGACCTTATTTTTGTCCATCCAATCATCCAATTCTTGGGGCACCCTCTGGTAAACATACAAAAAACTATGGAAAGATCCACCATTTTTCATAGGTAAACCCAGGTAAACCATCTATTTCTATGGGCCATCTATACCATGGCGAACTGTTAGTCATAGCCAGAGGGGTATCGAAATTTCGACCCATAGCAGTGCCCTTTTTTATCCAAAGCTTGTTGGTGGGGAAAAGCCGTTGTGATGTTTGATGGTTTCTAAACCCCATAAATACTTTAGTTATATCTACTATAAACCTATAATTCAGCCACTTATAAGGCAACTTAGTTATCTTGGGGGCCCCACATTGCATAAATACTATGGTTTATAACTTTTTTGTCCAAGAAGCAATGGACAACAATGGACAAAGTTCCAGCAAGACACGGAGAAGTGAACAAGTAAACAGAACATGAAAAGGAACAACATCAGAATATCATATACCCTCTGGTAAATGAACAGTTTGACCCTGAAAATGACCAATTTTGCTAGTGGAAACTAGTCTTCCAGTCCCTATCTGGCAGGGTCTATGTCAATTTACTGGATGGTATGGTATGGTTTATAAAACTTTTATGATACTCAAATAACATCTTATAACTATATAATTAAATAGTTACAGTATAGTTTACAGTATAGTTATTTGCGTATCATAAACCATAGATAATTATTGGAGTTATATTAATTTGCACCAACTGAGCCAGCTATCGAAAACGGGGGGGCCCACATCCGAATCCTGTGATCCCAGCTGAAGTTTCCGCTAGCGTCTGCCAATGTTGGGCCGCCATCTGCACTTTGGTAAACGAACAGAATATATGGAAAATCACAACTTTTTATAGGTAAATCAACTATAAATGTGTCATTTTCAATAGCTATGTTCGATTTCCGGAGGGTAAGGGTTGGATGTGTTTTTTGCTAATCTTTCTCAGTTCTTCTGTAACCGTGGGGCTGTGATCACCATGTTTTCTCGTGGTTAATGTTGGTAAAACAATAACAAACCACCCATCTGGATTGATGGTTTATACCGTACCATTTGTGGTGATTTAGGGATAGTTTATGAGTGTTCTAAGCACATGAGTCGATTTCGATCAACTCACTGGGTTTCAGGAGAACCAGAAGGTATCACATTTAGCGTTTGCACGGCTCGAAGCACTGGTACCACTGGTGATGATCCTTCTCCAACTTGGTCTATCGAAGTCACCAACCTCATAACTAGTTGGTGGATTCCAAAAAAATGTTTCAATGTGTCCTAAAAAACATACGTATATAGATTGACAGCAAAACAACATGAACCAATTATCGGTTTTAAAACAGGAGTATCTAAAAATTGGATAATATATATATATATTGACGGACTGAAACTTAGAATGCGCACTTGGAAGCGGCACTCCACACGAGCAAAACTGAAAAATTGCATTTTACCAGCATTTCGGAACTTAGAATGCGTCCCCCCACCTAGGATGAAGCTATTCGGCAATCAACAGTTAGAATGCCTCCAAGGACATTTGTTTTTTTCCAGGCTGAAACACATATATATATCCTAGACCCTCCAAGTCACCATAAAAAAGGTAGTTTACCACATAATTTTCATAGTTTTAGCAATTGTTCAGGGTATTTGGAGGCTCTGGGTATATGAATGTACCTGTTTGAGAATATCAGATTATTTTTTGTGCATTTTGCAGGTCTGGGTAAAGATTCCATGGAAAGTTTCAATGAACCAACGGGCAGCCCAAAGGCACTTTTACTCGCTTTCCCCATTCGATAACCTTGACAAAAGTGAGTTTCCCGTACAAAAATTGCGATTTTGGACACATACCTGAGGTAGATAGGCTTCTGGGAAAAGAGGACACACCCAGCCACTAATTAATGGTGTTGAACAGACAGTTAGAATTGTGGCTTTAGTAAAGGATCCCCATCATTGATAAATACCTTTGTTTTATCTCCTAGATGGGCCGCTAGCTGGAATGCCTGTAACTGTCACTGATTGGAAAAGATGTTTATATGTTTTTTTAAACGGCAAAACTGGAAAATTGCATTTTACCAGCATTTCAGAACCTAGAATGCCCCCTAGGATGAAGCTATTCGGCAATCAACAGTTGGAATGACTCCAAGGGTATATTTTCTCCAGGCAGAAACACACACATATATATATATAGATGCTAGACCCTCCAAGTCACCATAAAAAAGGTAGTTTACCACATAATTTTCATAGTTTTAGCAATTGTTCAGGGTATTTGGAGGCTCTGGGTATATGAACGTACCTGTTTGAGAATATCAGATTATTTTTTGTGCACTTTGCAGGTCTGGGTACTTTTACTCGCTTTCCCCATTCGATAACCTTGACAAAAGTGAGTTTCCCGTACAAAAATTGCGATTTTGGACACATACCTGAGGTAGATAGGCTTCTGGGAAAAGAGGACACACCCAGCCACTAATGGTGTTGAACAAACAGTGAGAATGTGGCTTTAGTAAAGGATCCCCATCATTGATAAATACCTTTTTTTTATCTCCTAGATGGGCCGCTAGCTGGAATGCCTGTAACTGTCACTGATTGGGAAAGATATTTATATGTTTTTTTTTTAAACGGCAAAACTGGAAAATTGCATTTTACCAGCATTTCAGAACCTAGAATGCCTCCCCCCACCTAGGATGAAGCTATTCGGCAATCAACAGTTAGAATGCCTCCAAGGACATATGTTTTTTGTCCAGGCAGAAACACATATATATCCTAGACCCTCCAAGTCACCATAAAAAATGTAGTTTACCACATAATTTTCATAGTTTTAGCAATTGTTCAGGGTATTTGGAGGCTCTGGGTATATGAATGTACCTGTTTGAGAATATCAGATTATTTTTTGTGCATTTTGCAGGTCTGGGTAAAGATTCCATGGAAAGTTTCAATGAACCAACAGGCAGCCCAAAGGCACTTTTACTCGCTTTCCCCATTCGATAACCTTGACAAAAGTGAGTTTCCCGTACAAAAATTGCGATTTTGGACACATACCTGAGGTAGATAGGCTTCTGGGAAAAGAGGACACACCCAGCCGCTAATGGTGTTGAACAGACAGTTAGAATGCGGCTTTAGTAAAGGATCCCCATCATTGATAAATACCTTTGTTTTATCTTCCTGATGGGCCGCTAGCTGGAATGCCTGTAACTGTCACTGATTGGAAAAGATGTTTATATGTTTTTTTTAAACGGCAAAACTGGAAAATTGCATTTTACCAGCATTTCAGAACTTTGAATACTTTGAATGCCTCCCCCCCACCTAGGATGAAGCTATTCGGCAA